TTATCTACTAACTATGACAAAATTACCTCCAAATATTTTGGACAAATTTTTATCAGGAGAGCATGTCTTACATCACAAGCAAGGAATTTGGAACGGAATATGGTCAGACATGATGATAGAAACGACGTTTATGAAGTTTGGGAAAGGTCCCACTGGAATTATTGGGAAAACAACGAATCCAAGAACCATACAGATATGGGCAAAAAGTCAACACAGATGCAATGAAGTGCTACAAAATTTAGATGAGTTGCGGAATAAGGATGAGAAAATCATGACAACACATAAAGAAGAAACATCTGGTAGAATTAAAAATGACCAAGTTGATCAAACGAAGTTAAAGAATTTTCTCATAACCTGCATTCACCCACTTGATAGTAAATCCCACACTTTATCTAGCCTCTGTAATATATACACTGGTCAGATAGCAGGAAAAACTATTAATGTTAACAAAGCAGTAGACATTGGTAAAGAGCAAATGAAATCATTTCAGAGTAATTTACCTGAAGGTTTCCGGTCGAAATTAAAGAAGGAAGTTGTAACTATGAAAACTCCAAAAGAGGTGAAGAATAAAACCGCTGTGGAGGTATATAATACTGAAATTATTTTCTCAAGGGTTCTCTACTTAAATTCAGCGAATAAAATCAACATAAATGATCTTTTTTCATATGAGTTAGCACCTATACCTACCGCTTTATTTAAAGACACTGGTGAAGGTAGATACCCCACAGCTAAAGCTGATTTAAAAATGCGTTAGTAGAGGTTTCAGTGAGAAATATTAAACCAGAAGCAACACTGATTGATGGATGTGCAATGATCCATAGCGCTTTATACTGGCCAAAAGGTGGTAAAGTGTCTGATTTATTGGTTTCTTTACGATCGTATATTTTAAAGATCTTAGCTCAAACAGATGTTTATCTTGTGTTTGACAGGTACCATGATTATAGCATTAAATCAGATACCAGACAAGAAAGGTTATCTCAATTCCGACGATCTCATAACCTTAGTTCTTCAAGTCCTCTTCCAGCAAAAGAGATAGCCATGAAAGTGACAGATACTAAAAAGCAATTAATTGAGATGGCAAAAGATGACTTGCTCAAGAATATTCCAAACCATTCAAACAAACTGATCATTACAGCAGAAGCTGAAACACCATATCAAGTACATTTAGGAGTTCAGACGATAAGAAATGATCTAAAGTCAAGACAGGAGGAAGCTGATGTGATTATCCCTTACCAAGTATCAGAAGCAATAGCCGATGGAAAAAAATCTGCTAAAGTAATTTGTGAAGACACTGATGTTTTTGTTTTGCTTTGTCACTGTTATAACAATAAAAACTGGAACATAGATGTTTATATGACTGATTTCACAGAAGGAAAAAACATTATATCAATAAACGATACAGTAAAGAAACATAAACCATTGATCCTTGAATTGTTATCTGTACATGCTCTATCTGGTTGCGACACTGTACCAATGTATTTTGGAATAGGAAAAAAGAAAGCTCTAAAAGTCGCTGCCACGTTGAAGTTATCTTTTCTTGGTGAAATAGATGCCACTGAAGATCAGTACTTATCAGAATCAAGAAAATTTATTGCTGCATGTTATAGTGCAAAATATGAGAGTTTCCTCAAAAAATAGGTACATCCAACTATTATAGTACATAATTTATTTTGAAGATAACTTATGTTTCTTTCAAAATGTAATAATAAGCCTCTAATTATTGCTGTACTAATCTAAACAAATTTTGTTTCGATTGTCTTTCTAATAAACTATGAGTTTCTGTTTCTTGCTGTAAAAAGATTAGGACGCTATTAATTTTGCTTCCATTGATGTTGAAAATAAAACTTACATCGTAAACATATAACTGAGAGCTGACTATATGTTTTAGCTTTGGTAATTATATGTTTTGATATGCTTTTTCTCCTGTTTTTAACCTTAGACAGGTAATTTGGCAACGAAGAACCAAAGGAGCCAAAATAACGTCAAAACCTCCTGCTTTGAAATCTTTGCCACCAACAGATGACGTCCTTGATTTCATTATCAAACGTGCAAGATACCAACGTCTGATTTGGGGCTCCTGCCTTCAGTGTGATCCTCCGGCATATGATCCATGTAAGGTAGGGAAAAAAGACTTCTTATATCAATAACATATTGTGTCATGGAGGTGGGAAAAATGAATTTTACCCACAAATATATGTGATTTAAGAATTCTTTTGTACTTTATTATCTTAGTATGGTTGGTTAAAAGATACTGAAACCAAAACGTTACAACCAATTATGATGCCTAGGGGAATGAAAGCTGCTCCTGATGAAGTGATCAAAATTAACAGCTGTGGCTGCTCAGGTACTACTTTTAAATATAAAAGCAATTCTTAGAAAAATATTCCCAATCAAATACCTTCAATTTTAAATTAACTTGCAAACTTCAACGTTCATAAACATTGATTGAAGTTGTTATTATAGTTTTTCTTCTGAATGAAGTGTCATTAATATTTCATAGTAGGATTGACCATCACAACTAAGCATTTAAGGTAAAATAAATGCTGGGAAAATATGCTTTAAAAATTATATTTAATATTTAGTTTCGAAATGCAAGTCAATGGCCTGTTCCTGTGCAAAGTCACAGATTGGATGCACAGAACATTGTAAATGCGAGGGAGATTGTCGAAATATATGGAATGCTGGTGGCTATGCGGAAGATGATGGTGATAATTCTAGAGAAGAATCAGCAAGGGAAGATGAAAATGAAACATGATAGACAATGTGATAGGATAATGTTTTATTAACCTGTTTTCAAAAATTAATGAAACATATATTGTAAATGTCACTTAATCGGTGTATATTTGGGTTTTTTAGTGAAAAAATGTTATGAATTGGCCTATCCAAAAGTTTTAATATCATCTAAATATATTAATTTGCATTAAGATTCGCTAAATAAAACGTCTTACAGGAGCTTATGCTAAAAAATTGATATAAGAAGTATTTTTGACTATCAAGTATTGAAATTTTGGTACCAAGGAATACACGGTTTTTCCGATTTTTCCCATTTTGCTAGTAGGTTATGTTTTGCACTTGCCCAGGGTTTGGGAAGTTGCAATATGTCCTAAAATACTTTCATATGGTCCCTGAACACATTTCTGGAAAAAAGTTGCACTTAGTATTTTTGTCGAGGTACCCTTAACTCAGCCCCTGACTAAATATAAATATATTCAACGTCATAACATCTCTCAGAAAACTATAAAATCCTCATCATACATCGAAAATCTATGATAGACACTAACGATCAATCAATCTGTCAGATAAATACCAGGAGAAGTGGGGAAGTAATAGCATCAGAAAAGGGCGCAAAGAAAAGCTCAAAAATCACCTCGTTTTCCAAGGCTCATTTTACTCAAATATGATTAGCTAACATAGGCGTACAAGGCGGAGGTGCTGGGGGTGGTGCAGCACATCAATTTTGAGCTAAAGCAATTTTTACTCAAAAGTCGGGAAATATTCGGTCTTTTGTGGACAAAATAATAGACAAATTAATCACTTTAATTAACAAAACTAATTTTAAGTAAAAAATAGGAAGAAATTTTATAACAGGGCAAACTCTATTTGACATTTTCCTTTGCTTTTTATATTAACAATGCTGTCTGGTTAAAGCATTTGCGCGTAGCTTAAACATGGAAAAAAGTATTTTTATCTACACCATATTTGAGGTGCAGGAACATTAAAGCTTTAAAATTTAACTGGTAATATTTGCCATCCCTCATTACGCCTTTTCGGCTTTCACATTTAAATTGAATTGAATTTATTAGTCGAATACGTTGACAATTTATCTCGTATGATAATTAAAAGAAAACTATAAAAACGTTTATATTCATAGCGGCTGTATTGAAAAAAATGCTGTATCTTCCACTTTACATAAACTCTTTCTCTTTGAGGCCAAGGTAATCATGAACATCCAGTAACAAAGAAATGCAAAAACATTGAAATTGAAAGTATGTAAAAGTTTACAAACTGCCCGCCATAATTAAATTTCCTATGTTATCTTTTGGGTAACCCTATGATAATCAATTGACGAATTCGCACTGATCTCATTTGTATGATGTTTGACTAATGAATTCATAGTCACAGAATAAATTATTTGACAAATCTTGTAGTATAAGCCCTTGCTCCCGGACCCTCTTTTTACTATATCATTGCTTATTTAATTTCTTGTTTGTTTTTTAGCCATCCATGGACTTCTAGTCATTATTTGCAATAAGTTAAAGCTTTTTCTCGTTCTTACGAGTATTTTGTGCCGCTTTTGTGCAAAATTTTCAACCCGTTAGAAATGAGCAGCAATCGGTAACCTTAAAGCTTATGATAAATGGACAGAATATTTTATCTACAAATTGCTAAGTTAAGTACGATATCAGTTGGTAAAAGTTAAACTACTCAAGCGATGAATACAGAAATATGAAGTATTAAAACAGTTTAGCGATATTATATTGACGTTATTAATATGCTTCACACAAGCAACCAGGCATATAGTGTTTTTTACATCAATGAAAGTCATGTTGGGCAGTTTTCGTTTTAGTCGAGCAAAAAAGTGTCAACACCCCCATTTTTTTCGCCCCGTACGACCAGGATTATTAAATATTCTTCGTAAGCGGCTATCGCAAAATTCATCGAGGCAACGTGGTCATATGTACTAAGTATTCTTCCTAAAAATGTTTTTCAAGCATTCAAACTATCAGCGTTTGTGTTTTTAAAAGCCATTCTACAATATCGAATTATTTATAAAAAGGCTTTAGAGGCCCAAATTTTATCTTGCGGCCTTAGTGCATATAACCTTCCCTTTTAAGGCAAATCCCTTCATTAATATGCCAAGAAAAATATGCATCTTTAATCTACGATAATTTGAATTTCTATAGAACAACATTGCTAGATATTTTGGAATTCTTGCCACGCAGTCGAGTCTGCATTAATCAAGAACTTTAGGTAATGTATTTGATCATCATGGTAAAATAACTCATATTGTAAAAATATTCTTGAGCTTCATTCTCAGTTTATATTTTGGAGCTGCTTGTCATTTCTGAATAAGATATAAGGTGGTTTTTAGCCACGACGGGTAAGTGCGCCGCTGTGAAGGTATTGCTTATACACACACACATATATTATGTAGCTCTAAATCAGCAAGCTCAAAGTATGAGTAGCACATTTTTCTATTTATGAAAGCCAGCGTTTTTGTTCTATGTAATCTTTCAATGTTTGAAGTAACTTTAGCAACTTCTCAGTTGACATGTTCATACGGCAGAAATTTGTGGAACGCAGAAATATTTCGTTGCCAGTTTTATATTTTTTGAGTATAGACCTAACAATGTAGACTGCATTTCTGTTTGCTTAAGGCTTATGTCTCCTGGCTTTGTACTTCTTGAAATATTTCTATAATTTGTTGGATTAGATGCCAAGAATTTTCATCTTTGCATGATTGCATTAAATTAAACGCTTTGTTACATCACAGAAATCGTTCAAAGACTTTCTTTTTAACAGGCTGTTATGGCGCGCCGAACATATCTTTATTCGATTTACTTAATATATCTCAATCATTTAAAAACATTCTATTTTGGATTTAAAATATTCCATATGGATTTAAAATATATGAGAGTAATATGCTGAGATACTGAACACAATCTTTTTGGAATGTCTATTCTGTAAATACATTAGACACGCAGTGCATAACAACAATGTTCAACACAGATATTTAAACGAATGTGCTTTTGTTAGGTTTTGATAAAGATATGGACAGTAATGATTCTTCTCAATTAAAGCCCATACCATCATCTAAAGATGAAATAAAGGTAGAATTTAATGAGATTATCAAAATGGGTGGTGAAAATGCAGAACAAATTCCCAGGGCGTCACTTCTTTATTTTATAACTTCAAGTATGAAAATCCAACGCCATTCTAAATCTGCAATGATATTGCTTGTTGGAAGTAGTGGATCTGGTAAATCATCAACAATAAATCATTTAATGGTAAATGGAGATGAAATTCCTGTTGCTAAGACAAATAATTATAAATCATCTACGAAAACAACATCTGAGTATATCATTACTTTTGACGAACCCGAGTATGAAGTGAGTGATTTAGTTTTGAGTGTTATTGATACCCCTGGCTTCAACGATGGCGATGGTGTTGAACAAGATGTGTGCAATATTGTATCTGTGAAAAAATACTTTCAAACACATCCCGAATTTTCTTCGAAAACAAAGTTTTATCCAAATCTTGTGTTCATAGTTGACAAAGCCAATAATAACAGAATGAAAGGAATCGATAGCACACTTTCAAAATCCTTGAGAGGTGTCAAGATGTTGGATGTTGTTGACATCAGTCATCCCAATCTCGTCGTGATTTTAACACATGCTTGTTCTGTTGGTTACAACAACGTGAGAAAATGGCAAGAGACGATGCAAGAAAAGAAAAATTTTGTGTCAGATCTTGTTTTTCAAACTTTGGGAGTGAGGGCGCCAGTCGTATTGATAGAAAACAATCCTGATGATTATGGACTTGAAAAGAATGGAGATTTCACAAATCTTCCAAGCGGTGAAAGACAACCGCTGAATTTATACAATGCTTGCCTTAGTCTACTCACAAAAGGAAGAGATGGAAAAGAAAAAAAAGATAAATTTGGCCACATGTTGTTGAATGCTGCATTTACACAAAAGAAAAAGAATCGGCCGACGAATGGCCATGAAGTTAAAGCCAAAATTGCAAGAAAAGAGCCACTATCAGTTGAGGAATTGAAATTCGTAAAAGATTTTACTGAAGCTGCTGAAGAAGGTAGGTTTAGTAAGCAAAAGTTTTTTCCCACATTTTTAAATATGTTTTTATGGGAAACGAGATTTTTCTGTGAAGCACCACGTAGTAGCTAGGTACTCATATTTCATTCAACGTGCAAATTTTTTTATGATACTCTTGTCCGCTGTGTAGGATTTATTGTTTTAAGAAATTGTGATTTTTCTTTTGAGACGTTTATTCGTTAATATAAAAAATATATTAAACTTGAGCAGATAACTTTCCAGTAATACATGAGAATTAGAAATTAATAAAGGTACTCATTTACGGATAAATATACACGAGTGAGATTGCTAAAGATTGCAACAAAATAGTGCGAGTCCGAAAGACGAGAGCTATTTACAATCTTAATTAGTCTCAAGAGGGCATGTTTTGCCGTAATTGTACGAGAAACTATACTATTACCTGCTATTTTTATATGGTATGCATCACTTCCGGCAAAATGATTGATTGGCTCAGAAACATTTTTGCCGGTCTATTATTTTCTCGCAATCGACCACGGTCCAAAACGCGTAATGTTACAGTCAAATGTAAACAAACTTCGTAATGCGAACAGCAAAACGCTAGAAAAAAATGAAACAAAAAATCACGCATTTTTGAATGTAAGTCGCAAGAGAAACACTCGGAAAACAGTTTAACTATCCAGACCATATAATTTGAAACGATTTATTTTTTACTGACAAAAACTAAAAGGGTGAAAGTCAACCCGTAGAAAACAGCAAAGACAAGAAAGAAAGCAATCTTTGTTTTACATGAAATAATGCTATATGATAAACCTTTTTAAAACTTCGCTTTCGCTCGCCTTACGGGCTCGGTCTGTACAAAAATACCGTGGTCCGATATTTTTCCGTAAAGACCTCGTGCTCGGTTATTAAGGGCTTAGTTATAGACTTTGAGGAATTTCGCAAAACGTTGTTTACCTCTGTCTTTTTTTGTAACTCTCTATCACTTCCGTAAAACTTCGTTGCGCGTGTTTACCACAAAAACAGTATTCACTGTTGCGGTTCTTTTTGCATTCTTTTGTTATTCTTGAGTTTCATACGATTGCAGAAATCTTACCAACCTGCAACTATCACCATCTTTTTATTCGGCTTTCACTGCTTTTTAGCCAATTAGATTACAATCTTGCATGGGTAAAAATGTACAATTAATGCATGCATCGATTGGAAGTAGGAACTTGTTCGTTCCAAGAGATGTGGGTTACTTGCCTGTGAAGTATACGGCTACCAGACTTTGAAAAATATGTGTCTTAGTTCAGCACTTTAAGTGCATGCTCCAATTTACTTTTTAGCTTTGTCATTTTCGTGTGCAAGCTGTTTCACAAAAGTGCTGCACTAAAATAACACTATTCTCGCACTTAAAATGGTTACTATGTGCAAAAATTTTACAGTGACACAACCCATTAAAAGTCCAACTACCTCCTTCACCAAAAGTTTTTCCTGACATTGTGCAATAACCATAAGCATAACCATAAGCATAACCATAACCATATCCCTAACCATAACCATAACCACAACCATAAGCATAACTTTAACCATACATATTTATAACCAAAGCCCTAACCATAACTATAACCATAACAATAACCATGACCATAGCCACAACCATACCATAACCATAACCATGACCATAGCCACAACCATAATAATGACCATAACCATAACCAACACCATATCTATAGCCACAACCATAACTATAACCATAACTATAACCATAGCCATAACCATGATCATAACCTTAACCATTATACCTTTTTGATTAGTCTGAGCGTGTGTTGCGTTTCTGCTGAACAACGATTAAGGTTTTAGCTAAGCTGCACTTTACCAACGAAAAGATTTGTAATAAATTTACGACTCACGAGAAAATACAATAATTGGCTTTCTGCTTTATATTTTACAGAGCAAAGGCAGTGACCATTAAAGAAGTACAGTGCTTTAAGTTTTTTAAAAACTCACTCGTGTATGGTTTTTTCCAAATTTCATTCGAAACCATGCTATTACCTTCGAGTGAAAATTGGAAAAACTTGCGCGAGTGAGTTTTGGAAATGAGCTGCAAATTCAGAACTGTAGCCAGGGTCATTAAACAAAGTCTTCTTAAAACCAACGCCAGCCATTGCTAATGATTTTGTTGACAATAATTTAACTTCTGCGCTTTTGATTTATTTTCAGAAATTGGTGCAAGTTTTCTCTACTTTTTGCATTGGTATATTTACAAAATTGTACTGCTCTAAACCAATCAGAATTGAAAAATTTTTCATGTACATTAAATAACTGCTTTTCTACTGTGCATATTTTCCCACTGCAATTGGAAATAAACTGCGCTGCAATCAACCAATCACAGTCGAGAAATATTTAAAAGCATATTATTGGAAATCATATTTTTGGATAGTTTTTCAAATATTGATTATTGTAGTAATACTAGTTCCAAAGTTTACCTCAATTTCTACTGTTCTTGTGAGTCGAATGAATAACGTATTTACATAATTGAAAATTGCCTATTTAATTAAAAAGAAAGTATTACAAGTTATACGACATTGCATGCATTTTTACAAATAGTATTTTAACAATGTCCAATTTTGAGCTTAAAATATTAAAAAATGTCACAAAGCATTCCCAAAAACACAAAAAACATTTAATTTACACCATGATCGACAATGTATGAAGCACTGACTAAAACATTTCGGCCATCATAGTCCTTCGGACTTTTGCAAAATCTCTCTCGGCTTTCAAATACATTTAATCACTTAGTAACCTCACTAACGTGGTTTTACTCATAATAGATCTTTCTTCAAAGGTATTACCAAGTCAATTGCCAAGTCTGCAATGGAATATATTTCAGAGAACAACATTCAGAGAAAATCTGTGAAAAAAGAACTTTTAGACCTCGTGGAAACTATGAATGCCATGGGTCTATCGGATGATTCAAAATTAAAGCGCACAACAATCAGTAAAATTAAAAATCGTCATGGCAACGATATCACTGAGCATGGCCTTCAAATGTTGGAAAAGAAATTTGGGATAAAATGCGGAGACTTTAAATCATTTCAAGAAGGTATTTTTACATTGTTCTCTCTTATAGCAAACATCAAACGTATAATAAACGTCAATCATAAATAATTGGGGTTAATCCAATTCATATCATTAAATACTTTATCGTTTATTGTGAATAAACGTAATTTTGAAAAACTTGATGTTTGTTTTTTGTAGCTGCATTTATTGGTCAGGGATACAACCTTGTCACCGATGACGTTGTTTCATCTCAGGTTTTGAAACTATCCCTCGTTGATAATAAACAATTTGGCTTAAAAATTCCTGATTGTGCTCAAATATTAAAGTCAAATGAAACTGAAGTTAATGCAATACATCTACAGAGGAATGAAAGCTCCATTAAATCACGCCTTTCAGCCTTGGGGCTAAATGTGAACATGGCACAAAATATATTAATGATGGTGCAAGGGTTTGATGTAGATCTCGAGTTTGGTGTAGATCTCAGCATGCAGAGTCAAGAAGACGACTTCCAATCTTCGACCAATAAAAGGCAGTTGAAAGAAGTGAGAATAGCAAAGATAAGTTTAAATCATTTTGATTCGAAGAAAACAGCTTTTACTGATGGGTTTCTGTCTGCTGTGGAAAATCTACCAACTGAAAATATCGAGGACGAGAATGTGATGAAGGAGTTTAACGATTTTTTCAATAGGTTCGGTCAGTTTGTCATCACGTCTGCTTATGTGGGGGGATCAGTTGAATTTGATAGTCACTATGATACGACGAAATTCTCAAAACAAAATGAAAACAGTGTCGGCGGTGGTATTGGTGCATTTATTACAAAAAATTCTGGTAAACGACAAAAAATAGTGAACCAGGAAAGCATCCAAGTCTCAAAAACTACATCGACTCATTGGAGAGGTGGGCGTTTAGACTTGCAAGTTGATGGTACGTTGCATTCAGAAGAAAAATTCTCTGAATGGAGGACATCTGTTGCTGAAGATCCAGTGTTTTTGAAAAATAAATTGCAATTGCTACCAATTTATACGTTAGTTGGAATGATTGATGGAAAGAAAGGAAATCTTACCAGTCAAGTTTTTGAAAAAATGTTTTACAATCATGATTTCTACAGAGAAAGGAAGGATTCCAGCACGAGGAAGGGGTCGAGAAAAAACCCAAATACTCCTAAATTGTCCAAAATAATCAACGCCATTATAAACTTTTTAAAAAAATTCATTGAAGACAAATAGGAGTCGCAATGACGAAGCACACCAAAGCTCAATAGAAATATTTGCTAGGAAAGAAAGGGTTAAAGTGCAGGCTAAATTGTAATTTTCTTTTCGTAATTCATCCTTTTATATTTGAGACATCACTGTGTATTTTCACTTTAATTATACCATTATTGTTTAATTAACTGTATATTTAATTCATTTTGCAATGAAAACAGAATAAGTATGCCAAAACATGTATGCAACAAAAGTTATATAAAAATTGTCACTTTGATTTGTTTAGATACAATTTTTTTCTGTTTCTCACTTATTCAACACATCAAATATAATCTAACATGGACTTTTTTATTTTCTATTCATCTTTTATAAGAACGTTTTCCTGGAAATGCAAATGTTATTCACAACCAAAACCACAAAAAATAATTTGCCCAAGGTCATACTTTTTTCTCGCCTTCTTTATGTATCCGAAAACATCTTTCTTTTTTCAAACTTAGCTGTTCTTTTGGCATTATTTATAAAATACATTATATTTAAGGTACTTAGCATCTGTTAACACAAATTATTATTCACTATGTGAGCATTCTCGGCTGTGATTGGTCAACTACCTGCAGATAATTCTCGATATCTGCAGGTTATAACCATTGAGTTATATAAAAACCTGGAGGTATAAAGGAGACTGGACCCGATTGTCAAAAACATGACGGTAATGGCGGATTTTGGTTGTCAAAACAATTGAGTTCTATAATAACCATTGAATTATAAATATACTGGAATGATAACTCTATGAATGCTCTGTGATTGGATGAAGCCAAAGTTCTGTCAGACATTGACAGCCCCCTGAAAAACGCGAGCAGCCTCGTCTTTTTTCGAAGCGTGGGTGCTGTGTAATCATGAATGATTAGCGGATGTTTTATTTTTTTATTGATTTTAATACTCCAAGTTGCGGCTTGTATATTCTAACAAAACATAAAATGCGCTTAAGAACAAATCCTTTGAAAATTCAAAAATTATATGGCATAAAGATGGCTGTGTATTTCCAGTTTGTGTATTTGAAATAATCTGCAAATGTTCTTACATACTTCATTAATTCTTAAACAGTATTAACTTTGTTAACTAAAATCTTTGTTAACGACAAGCATCAGCAAACGAAGAAAAAAAAGTTTTGAAAATTACATACGCTAAATGGAAAGGAGGGTGTTTCGACTTGCAAGTTGAAGAAAAATTCTCGGAATGGAGAACATCTGTTGCTAATAATCCAGTGTTTTTATAAAAATATACTAACAATGCAGCCCATTCATACGTTAGTTGGAATGATTGATAAAAAGAAAGGAAATCTTACCAAGGAAGCTTTCGAAAAAATTTTTCAGATTAACTTTTCAAGTCTTTACAATAATGATTTGTCAAAAACAAATTTGCAAATGGAAACCAAAGAAAAGGATCAAGAAAAAAGAAATTTGAAAAATAAAAAACTTTGTGAAAATTGTGGTTGGTTGTATAAATGCGTAATATCATTTTCTGCTTAGCTTAAGCTTTTCAACATTCAATTGCTGTTTTTACATATGTTCCAAATTCCTTCTCATTCTAAAGCTACTAATCCTGGGTGTTTAAGTACATAGCTACCTTTTGTAATTTGTTGTAAATTGTCATGTCAAATTATGTGGCGTGTGACTGTGTCTTATAGATTATAAGATATAACTGATAATAAATTGATGTAAAATAGTATAGTCATGTTAAGAGAACACTTCCTCACTGCAATGCGTCATTGCGGTAGGATGTAGGTAGAAACGGAATGGCAAGTTGTATGTCATGTAAACGCCTAAAACCACTTCCGAATAATTATACATAAATATAGCTTGCAAGCGTTGGTTCGGGAGTTCGGAAAAGTTGACGTTATTGGTGTATGAACTGGTCATATAAATTTGATAAATTAGAGTCGTATTGCAGAAGTTCGAAAACGCAGTTAAAGATTGACAGTTGTCGGTAATCTTATCGAGATCAATTTAAGTATTCCGTATACGCTTGGAACGTAAAATCATGCACAACCACTGTAAATATCCTGTTGAAGTGTTAAAATATTATATTCAAAATACAGTCCCACCGTTAGAGTGAAGTTTGAGAACAGTGAACCAGCACTTCGCACAGATTGTGCGAAATAATTTTTCCCGTAGTGCATTTTGGTGCTACTACGGGTTTGGCTCAAAACACCATGATCTGCTTTTTTATGTCACTACTTTTCTATTATTCTAATGTAAAGGCAAAATTACCCCGAGGAATTGAGGCAAATAAAGCTATTTTTCAGCCTACGAACTAGTGATTTGTTTAGACACAGATTTTCTCAGTTTCTCACTTATACAGACCATCAAAAGTAGTCAAACATGAACTTTTACACAATCATCCAATTTAAACCGTCAAGAAGCATTTCGCTGCGTTGAAATTATCTGCGGTAAACGAAACAGTAACTAGAAATCTTTTGTGACAGTTGTTCTAGTCATTGAAAGCAATTCTCTCGGAAGCCCACCTGTGAAGTTAAATGTATATTTAATTATGTTTGAAAATGTTTTTGCTTTGCAATTAATTTCGCTTTCCAAATATCGAATAGTGATGAAGCCATGAAGATTCGCAATAATTTGTTAATCATAAATAGGGAGCTCGTGATTTCGGAAGTTTTCCCAATTACTTTTTTAGATGTTACTGTTTTATCTCAGAAAATGCCCATTTGTGAATTAAAATGCCCATTTGAGACCCTTAAGTTGAATATATATCGTAAACAATCGTTCGTGAAGTCGTGATCATTCATCGGGAAAATTCTATTCAAATGTTGTCCAAGAACTTTATGGCTTAACGTGAATTCAACATCCTCTTCTACATTTGCGTGAAATGTCTTTGTTTTTTTTAAGTATTTCCTTAATGTAAAATGTATCACATATTAGATGCTCCATTCAAGCAGCATGCTATTTTTGAATGGCGGCCCATTAGCAAATAGCAGTTTTCATGTGACTGTATAAGTTGGTATGGATTCTATATTTCAATTTCTGTATCTGTGCAAAATGGGGAGGAGTGACAGGCTCATCTTACGCAAAAGATCACAAAAATCAGCTGACTGCTTTAAGTAATTATCTAGAGTAGTTTGAATATTAATGGCAAATTACCTAGTCCCAATCCCGTCCCGAGCGCCATGATGGAATGGACAGCTTCAGCGCCTTGTTAGAGTTGTAAAAAAGGCGATGTACAAGGCGCCAACCTGAAATTGGAAGAATTCTATAAAGTAAACATTGGAGTGCAAATCAATCGAAGACCATTCAGTTATGTTGAGGATGATGAGGTTAAACTACCCTTGTTGACATCTCACCTCGTTTTGTTCCTGAGATAATTAAATCCAATCATCTGCCAAGGCAGAAGACAAATTCGGTTACATGAAGTATAGCATGCCGTAGATTAGCGTTTCGTATGTGCGATGACGTTTTCATCAAGGTTTCATGTGTATCGCACATAATTCAGTTTATGTAAGTTTTCACCAATCTTACTTTTGCTTCACGTAACGTTTGGTTTCAATTGTTATTTCTAATCAACTCATAAAACTTCCAAATTCGTGAAAGAATTGAATTAAACAAAACTAGTATGTCTCCTTAATGTGTGTTAGTTAAATATAACTTGTGAATAGATCTTTTTTAAAACGTTTTTGCTGCTTTTTAACCTGATTTTGCTTGCTGTTACCTGTTTTTGCTTGCTGTGCTCAAACAAGCAAAAAGCGCAAAAATTTCTCAGGAGAAAAATTAGAAAAATTATTGAGTTTAGTGTAAGTTGTATGGATACTACAGTACTGTAAATATTTAACACATTTGCAGTGATGGGCGATATTAAAAAATCGATTCGATAACGAATACGACATTACATGGTCTAGTTTAAATCATAAGAAAACCGAATTGCTTTTTATCGGTTTCTAATCATTTTACAGAAAGTGGAACGCTCAGTGCGGAGGGTAAGGATTAGACTGTGGAAATCGTGAATTCAATCCCTTCCTCCTTGAAAGGCAGATTGCTATCTTTGTAAGTTTAGCCAACTCAAGACTAACAGATTTCTTTCAGTTAAAAAATAATGATGAGAGAGAGAAAGAGGGGTGGGTCCCCAGGCTCCGCAGTACCTACAATACCTTGCACAAACCATAAGTACATGTTCTACTCTACTCAAGCTTCAGTCCGTAACAACGAAATACTTGAAGCTACTACAGGAGAATTATGAGTCAATTTCAACCGCAACGTGCACCATTCATTAGGTACACCACACATCCGTGTGAGTGGATCACAACTTTCTGTTGGAAATTCATGTAAGGAAAGATAAATGACCTCATTAATGTCAAAGGAACTCCCTTGCATAACAGGAAAGTCAGTTTCCTTGAAGAATCATTACAACCATGTATCTTGCGTCAATGAAGAATGGGCTCTAGTTAAAATATCCTTCGGAATGATGATATCTTGCGTTGATGGAGAGTGGACACTAGTTAAAATATCCTTCTGAATGATGGTATCTTGCGCTGATGGAGAATGGACACTAGTTAAAATAGTCTTCTGAATGATGGTATCTTGCGTCAATGGAGAATAGAAACTGGTCGAAATATCTTCTGAATGATGACGCTGGGCGCCGAATAAACGCGACATTGAAGACACATAGGTAAAGCCTAAAACAGTTCAACAATTAAAAATTGCATTGGAAATAAAAATTCATTCCACGAAAGAGCACAGAATTTCAGCTCCTTTAATCCCCAATTCACGACATACAATTGCTTCAATGAGCTGGTCCTATTAACCAATTTATTTTCACAGAAAAGCTCCAACTGGAGGAGAAGGAATCAGTCGAAGAGAACAAATAGGACAACAGGCTGATAATTAACAAGGGGTACGCCCTTTTCAAAAACTTGATCAATTTTATAGCAATTGAGAAGATTCATTGCCTTACTCAAGATGACTTTTTCTTTATAACAAAGAGTTCGTATTAAACATTTAAACATCAAGCGGGGTTTGCATGAAGTAGTTGACAGGGAACGTGGAAGATCAATACTGCAGGAAGCTTACATTATTTTTATATACCTGCATGCTCTTTGTTACAAGTTTCTATTGAAATCAATAGTGATTATGGATTATAAAATAACAACACCCAAATTGGTCTATAGCCGAGTTTGCATTGGCCTGAGCAAACTGATCTTAACTCAATCAATTAAATCAACAAAGAGAAACTGCAAATCAAACATGAATACATGTTAGAGAAAAATTAAACGTT